AAGTACTTTTTTTTTTTTATTACTCGTTTAAATAGCGCACAGAATGTTATTTCGATGTGCGTAAAAAACTTTTATGGAGAATAAAGAGAACGCGAGAGATATCTTCGCGTATGTGGAAATCGATCCGGATTATAAATAAATCTATCTATCTTTTCCCCGGTTCTCTCGCTTCTCGCTCGCGTAATCGCACGACTTAATTGCCCGATGGCAGCTACTCGAGCTCGCCCCTCTTTAATGAACACCTAACGAGCGTGCTAAGAGGAGGAACAAGAAAGGACGGTGTGATGAGACATTAAAATTGGCTCTCTGTGTGTTTATCCAATTATCTGAGTCGTAAAATCTATAGTTTGTATTCACGATCCGTCCGAGGGATACGCGAATGGGATTCGCTCATCTCGTGCGTATATACGATTTGGACTGCTTTTGTTAAAAAACCAAATCAACTAATTTTTCCCATCATCAAACCACATGCTTAATTTTGTTGTTTTGTTTTCAAATAACCTATTATCAAAATTACTTACAATTTAAAAACCCAAAACGCTAACGAGAAATAAATTACATCGTTGAACTACAACGTAAATACGCAATTTGCGCGCGAAAAACTCATAGAAATTTACATTTTTTTTTGTGTATATCCGCATTTGTACGAAAAAAAAATTTATTGAGATCGCTTTACGCGACAATCCGGCTATTTGTAAAATCGCAATAATTGAAATAACCGTGGCGCGCGGAAAATGCACCGGAGCGTGCGATGCTGGTTGGCGGAGCTCGCGTTCTCTCGGTTATTTTCTCGCATAATGCTCGCCCCGTTCCACGAGTGGGCAACGCTTTTTGTGGAAATTATATTTTAATGGAGCTTGACGCGACGCTAAAACACACGTCAGCCTGCAAATCGCATAATAACGCTACACGCGCGCGCGTGAGAGAAACGCGCGGTCTCGCGTGCGAAGTCGTTTAAATTTTAAATGCACAGACTCTAACGCACAGAAACGGAATTGTGATTAATTTAAAGTGCGCGCGCGCGTTTGTACATCTCCCTTTGCGCTATTTGCTGATATATACTTTGCGCTTGCGTCTGTTAATAATATTTTTAACGAACGCGGAGTTCGTCGCGGAATGTGCTTTTTCGTCGAATTGCAGCGAAACGAAATGGCGTTTTTCGATCTTCCGCTGAATTTCGCCTGTTAAAATCACCGAAAGTAACGAGCACGCGGCGAAACGTTGGAACATTCGCAAGAAAGAAAATAATCTGCGTTACAAATTTGTATAATAGAGAAAATTTAACGGTATTTCCGTCCAGAGAATATTACAACGCGAGGATAGCAGAACGAGGAGTGTACATACAATATATTTTTTGCTTTTAACACACACACACACACATATTAGAAGCAATTATATCGCACCGCGAAGAGAACCGCGGAAAACTCGACTCCTTTCTCTCTCTTAATGACGTAAATCGGTAAAAATAACCCGATGCTAGTTTCGCGCCGATCATCATCTCGTGTGTATATTCGTTTAAGGCGCTTTGTCGGCTCGCTCCGAGAGAGTAAGAGAGAGAGAGGACCGACGCGCGCGTCAGAATCGAGTTCGGTATCTCCAGAAGAGGCACCGAGCAAAACACACATATCGCGCGTCTAACGGGCCACCTTTTTTCCTGCGTGACGATCGACGCTGTAACAGTATCGGGTTTTGACCGAGTTTTAACGAGTCGGACGTTAAAAATATATACGACAACAAATATATATACAAATATATGAAAAAAGTAGGCGAATAAAACAGCACGTCAATATAAACAAACACGATTTTACTCGTTTTACGCTTTTAAAAGAGACGTTTTGTGACATTCGCAAAATGCGCGGATTGTCTTTTACGGAGCAAAGAGCCGCGAAGAGCTGCGTGTGTACGCACAAGTATAATTTATCTTCACACACACACACACAAAATAACTGTAAAATAGTCGTGGCCGGGGCGAGCATCTCGTAAAATTTACGATCACAAGCAACTTTCACGAAGATTTACAACACATATGTAACATTGATTATAAATCTCCCAATATAGGGTAATATAAACCGAAGGGAACAATGGAACGAAAAAAATCGTCTGTATATTCGATACCCGTTTGAAAATCGAAGTTGTTTGCAAAGTCTCAAAGCTAACTTTGTATCTCGACGCTGTCGCAGCACGTGAAGCAATTATTGTGCAACTAATAACACAGTAGGTCAAGAATAGTAGTTCGGAAATAACCTCAAACGTGTGTTCTAGTCAGAAAAAAAAATATCCCCAACACGCTCTTATATTTTCTTGTTTATATTAGAGAAGAGAATAATGTATTAAATATTCTTTTATAAACTATTTTTACAAAATAGTGTTTTATAAAAAAATTAAATATTAAATATTTTTTATAAACTAGAGAATACAACATTTATTTAATTGCTGTGCAATGAAAACACTTTTAAAAATGCAAATGACATACGTCTGTGGCAGTTGCCGATATCTTGCGGCACATAACGGATTCTCATGCTGATGTAGGATTATCTTTAGAACTGAGACGCAATTGTTTAGATCATCAGTCTGGAAAATTGCACGAACAAAAAGTATCGGTCCTTCGCTCCGATGAATCATTGGCTCGCGATAACTCTCGTCTCTTCTGTCTCGTTGATGTCACTCTCCTCCGCGACACGTCGAGAAGAAATTTTTCGACGAGAGAGCATCGCCGTCGCGATCGTTCGCAATTTCCGACAGCGTGTGGGATGCAAATTGCGCGAGGATCGAGGAAACTTTCGCCTTGCGGTTCCTTCACTATCGATTGACTATGGCGGTGAATATCTCTCCTGACATTAACGATCGCTCAAACGTCGACTATCATCTCCACTCGGGTAATAACGGAATTCCGTAGAAAGTCTTCCTGTTTGGTCCAGATCGCGGATGATCGATCGCGGCGTAACCGCGTTCGGATGTTCGCAATTCTTCGACCATACATCAAAAGCGGCGACTAATGTATATTATTTTGTAACAACCCAACGGCAAAAACAGTTTACTCGGTCTCGCAGAAACAGCGCAGAACGCGCGCCGCAAACACTCACAGGTTGCAAAAGTATCTCGTCGTATATAAATATCAATAATACACATCGCGACATCGCGTAATCGACGGTTATAACAACGCGCGTCTCGTCTAGCATTTTACCGATTGATATTCGGTATCCGACTGAGGTTATCGCTTATCGTTCTAGTTTAAATATCTCGTCACGTAGAGATATCTATATCCCGTATCAAAGTATGTACCGTTATCAGTTAAACACACACACGCACACATTTGTACCGTAATCTGCCAACGATAAAAAAACAAAATGAAGCGTGTAAAATTTAGAGAGCTCTCGCAAATCGTCGATTTTGTTAAACGACGGATGCTTAACGATATCTCGCCGATCATTCGATAACTTTGTGTACACAGCAGAAAAAATGGCATTCGCATTCACGCGCGTGAACGCACGTCTCCGCAACTGACTTCGCGTTTCACATTTCGTCGACGGGTAATTATCGTCGCGTCGGGGATCGCGACGGGCACCGAGACACCGAGTCGATTCACGAGAAGAAGAAGTCCCGCGGACGGTCAAGACAGAGAACACGGTGAACACGATGCAGTCGCGGGAATGGACTGCGGCGAACGGAGGCTGTGTATGAAAGTAAATATTAACGCGGTCTCTCCCTCGCTTACTCGTCGCCACACAGTCGTCGTTCGAGGTGCTCGATGTGTGCGATCGTGTGTATCAAACCACGAGCAACACACGGCCGCCTCCTCCTCGTAAACAGCGCGTGTCACGTGGGTGCGCAGACCTGCGTGCGCGCGCGTGTGTTGTCATCTGTTTAGTATCAACCGCGTATTTCCGCGGCGTGACTTTTACGACGACGATGACGACGGTGTACGAAGACTACGGTAAATACCGTCGGTCGATGGAAATAGTTCATTTGGAATTCCATCGTGCAGAGACAGCGCAGACTACTGTGTGTTTTAGAATTTACTAACAAGACATTCACCTCGAATCTATTAGCGAAAACTCGCTTAAGTTAGTTTTCGGACGAACTTTTTTTCTTTCTTCTGTTGAATATTTTCAACTCAATTGAATACAAGGTGAGTGAGAAAAGCAACATTTTGTGCAGAGACGAAAAAGAAAACACGCGATGCGAGCGATGAAAATTGTCGGCGAATTATATCCGAGAGCTTTCTTTCGGAAGCCCGATTCGGAGAGACCGATCGGGAGAGACAAAGTGCGACTTTAACGAGCGTAGGCACGCGATATTGCGTAGGGCTTTAATATTCACCTACGTGCTTATTATTAATCGCGCGCGTCGTTTATCCTACGCGCCCCGGATCGGCGCGTTCGATCAGCGCCATAAAAAGAATCGGTCGGCGCAGAAAAAAAAAAGGTCGCATTCCGTCACATTCAATCTCGCGAACGAAATAAAGAAGTGCGGGATTGTGCCCGCACATACATACACTTGAAAACATTTATCCCGCTAAAATATCCTCTCGTATCTAATAACAAGCGCAACGCGATATACATACGTGCCCGCGATATGTCTCGTAATTACAGTAACGATTCGCTCGGTCTCGCCGCGCGAGCGCGCAACATGCAATTTCGTCGTACATTCTAGATACCTGATTCGAGGTCGTCGTGGTCGGCTCCGCGAAGACAGGAGTGAAAACTGCGGGACAAACGGCGACCGCCGGGCGAGGCGCCCTCCGTCGAGACGCCCTGCATCCTTGATACACTCGTCTCGGCGCTCTTGAAGAGATTCCTCCTTCTTCTCGCTCAAGTAGGACCGAGATGCAGAGACGAGATGTGGAACCGCGTCTTCATGATTTCCCCTCTCCCTCCCACCCTTCCTCCTCCTCACGTACGACGCAAACCGCGCGCGAACAACACACGGGAGTCGAATAATTAAGCGCTAATTAACCGCTAACGCGCACATCACGCGCAACGCGCGCGCGCGTGCGTGCGTGCAGGTCGCGGGCAATCTGTTGCCTTAATGCGCTCCTTCTTCCCTCGTTCTAGTTTACCTGGAAAGAGAATCGAGCGAGATGTGTTTCGTCGCCGCTTTTGACACACGCGCGGCAAGTGTTCTCCAAAATAACGAAGCGTCGTGACCCGTGATCCACATTTCGTCAGGGAAGAGAGAGAGAGAGAGAGAGAGAGAAAGATGAAAAAATGTATGTTGCATTCGCTTTTGCGAGTTCATCGAGATTTTATTTCGAACGTTGAAATATCGTCGGAAATACGCGCGCAAATTGTAAAACTGACAGGAAACTTTCCAAGGAGAGATAATAAGAAACGGACATTTGGAAGCACATCCACACACGCCCAAGCTCGTTCGCTCGTTATTCCGCGAAGTGTTAACGCGCGCGATTGGCCGGCGCATAATTTATAACGAGCGCGTGGGCGCGCGCGCGCGCGCACGAGCGCACGTGGGTGAGGGTTTTTTTAAAGTAGGACGACGGCGAGTGCATAATTAAAATTGCGCGCGTTAAAAAAGAGAGAAAGAAAGAGACGTTTGATTTCGATTGAATGCCACCTTTGCGAATCGCGCGTTTTTATCGAGGAACATCTTCGTTCAATCGAAGCGTGCGATCAATTATTATCACCGCGCCACTGATTGGCGTCTTAATTTATTGCTTTGAATTGATATCGATGCTTTTTATTGATATTGATCGATTGAAAAGTTTAATGAGAATCCAATGTCACGTTGCTTTCGCAGACCTTATATTATTGTTACAAAAAATTCAATCATCGTTATAAGAAACGATTATAAAATATAATAAATAATTCGCTCGTAATATAAATATAAGAAAAACACAATTCGGTCTGTTTCGAGCTCAAAAAGTTCTTAAAATTTATCAAAGAAACGATTAGTTTCGTCGGAGAGAGAGCGCACGCGCACACACACATACACGTTTATCTCTCTCCTCTTTTATAATTAATATATCCAATCACGTTCGAGTATCCTTTACGCGTCTCAATTACCGTATCAAGAGCGTCGTGAGTTACGAAAGAGAGTCCGATTGTAATTAAGATCCCGGCGATTAAATTGCGCAAAGGTGGGATTCTCCTTCGTGTAACTTCCACATTTCGTACGAAACGAGAGAGAGAGAGAGAATGTGTGTATGTGTAATCTTGTGTATTTATTCGGTCGCGACACAAGCCGAATTTGCTTAATAAATTCAACACCATGAAAGACCCCACAATTACGCGGCCTCGATGCGCGCAACGCCGCGAATATATAATATTCGTTATAACCACCTGTTGCTCGTAAACTACAGTTTCCGCGAAGTAACGTAGGAAGTGAGCGTAGAAAGAGACACTCTTGAAGATCTCCGTTTAAACGGATCTTCTTCGACGCGCGGTCGTTCATTTCGCGGAACTAATTAATGGCCCGTCGCGAACGATCGGTTCGCGATTAATCAAACTATTTAATCGGACTATTTATTGAGAGTGGAAATTAACAGTAATAATAAACAGTACCGTGCGCGCTACTAATAAGCGGACCGTTGTAGGAAAAGCGTATGATCGCGCTAAAAAAAAAAAAAAACACGCGCGCCCGACGTATATTCAATGAATGACAAAAACAAACGTCCAAGGAGAAAAACCGTAAGAGGTATTTCCTCTATTCTCGATTTACGTATTCAATATAGCTGCGCGAAATAACGCGCATATAATTTTTTATATTATATATTACATATTACATATTACATTATATATTATATATTACAAGTAGGTTTTTTATACGTTACAAGTGCATCACACACGTTAAATGTAAAATGAAAAGACGCGACTGATCGATTTATTATTTAGATAACGAATGTTGGGAACGCCGGTTAATAATCGCGAGACACACGCGCGTGCGTTTGCGCGATTTGTGAAAAGCTCATTAATTACTTCTCCGTTAAGGAGCAACTGTATAACGATCATTAGCGCGGTTCATTAGAGAAACATCACGCGACCGCTGTTCGGTCGAGAATACACTCGGCGAGATTTACGGAATTTCGACGAGACGTCAATTAGACGAAGCGATCCTATCTCTCTCTCTCTCTCTTTCTTTCTGTCTGCAAATAGCATCAAATCCTCTCTAGCGCGCGCTCTTCGACTTTCGTTTTCGAGAAATTGGCGGAATGACATTGTGTCGCGCGCGCGCGATGAGAATGAATTTCGTGGAACTAATTAACGCGCGTCCGTCCGCGTTCGTTAGCCCCGGAAACTTCAGCGGCGAATCGACGGAGAGCTAATTGCGCTAATCGCGCGCGCTTTACGACGATTTACGGCGCGGCGTGAACGCAGTTATATCCTTGAGACAAAAGCTGCCTTCCGCGCTCGCAGAGGAATAACAGGTGCATTCCGAGAGAAAGATGCGAGAAATAATCTTGCAAACGACCGATCACAATTCAGTTTTAACTCTTAAAACTGAGTTTTTTTGTCCTATTAATAATCACGAAGTGTGATTGTAATCTAATTATACTATTCATTAAAAGATATTTCCATGTATTTTTTAATATATAAGAACATATTTAGTTCAAATTCTTGGAACATATTAATTAAAATACATAAGGCAAAAACTTAATCAACGTAAGTAAAACGAGGTCACACACGTGATGAATGACTTTTCGAATTGCTCGCGTTGCGTCACGCTGCGCTCCGGAAATTAAATAGAATTGCCCGAATTACATACATGAAAACACATAACAAGCTGATTACACGTCTTCTCTCCATTTGCGTATTTTACGTGAAGAAAAATAGAACACTCCATTTTGTAAACTGTAATTATTCGCTAGTACAAACTACGCTCTAGAAGAATTTTATCACTGCGTTATCTAATAAACCACAAGTTATTGTTTTTAATTACTATCACAACACAAGAACGCGCTATTGTTATTTTTGTTTTAACGTGTTGTGTCAGTGAACACAACCTGTCACTGCGATGACAGCTAGTATATACGTCTTACCAAAAAAAACCATATAATACACATATGAGAGATGTCAGAAATAAAGCATGAAAATCAAACTCGAAAACTAGTAAGAGAAAGAAGTGGAAAAACAACACGTGACTGTATTTTAGTCACGTGTTTTTAAAAACGTGACTAAAGTAAAGTCACGTGACAGAAAAAAGTGAAAAAACAACACATAACTACAATCACGTGACTGTACTACAGTCACGTGTCTTTAAAAACGAAACTAAAATCGTGACAGAGAGAAGAAGAAAAACAACACGTGCCCAAAGTCACGTGATTTTAGGCACGTGTTGTTTTACCTCTTCTCCTTGTCACGTGACTTTATTTTAGTCACGTTTTAAAGTCACGTGACTTTAGGCACGTGTTGTTTTTGCACTCTTCTTTTTTTCTATTTTTCGAATTTGATTTTCATGCGTTATTTCTGACACTTCTCATATATGTATTGTATTATATAGAATAAAAAAACACTCACTTGTAAAAATTTACAAGTTGAATTCGTTACATGTATATATATACACACGTACAGTTTCCGCTCAACATCCTGGGAATGGCTCGTAAGGCCTTATATATTTCTTGTATTATATAGTTTGTAAGACCTTTATACTTTGTTCCGTTTCTCTGTGTGTTGGCGAGTACTGTGACATTTCAATCCGGTTTTTTATCTTACAGTTAAAAGAAAGTGTTCTATTTATGTAGGTTTAATTTGTATTCTTTAATTATTTATTTATCTATTTATTTATTACATCTTTCGTAGTTTTATTAATTGATTCTCTATTTTATATTTCTGATGTTTTATATTCTGACGTCTTTTATATTTTAACGTTTTATACATCCACATGTCAACTTTATTCTTTTGACTCAAAGTTATCGCTCTTAGTAACTAATTTTATAATATGTATTCATTTATTTATTTGATAATTCGTTATCGACCTGCGTTATATAAATATGTAAAAAAACTTGGAGCGGTTGCACCCCAACTATATAATGATTAGAAATTATTTATTTATTAATTATTTGTTTTGGTCTGATGTTGAATACCTACTCAGTAGTTTGTGATTTAAACATACAAAGAGTTTTATTTAAATCATTACTTCAGACTACAAATGGGATCCTTGAATTAATAAAAACGTTTTTTCTTTTTTTCATTATAAATATATAACGGTGCAATTCAAATAGAAGTACTTGTATACTTTTAATACGACGCTGATTGGATTAGTTCATTAGATTCTGGTAGTCAAAGTTACGTATGTGAAACTCGTTTTCCTTTTCTAACTCACACACTCCCGTCTTTCCTTTTTCTTCTTTCAACGCGCTCGTACATGTATGCCATCTGTTAACAAGCGTACGAACATGCACACATTTTGGTCGCACGACAACGATAATAATAATAACGTTTCTGAGACAACGTGAATTTCTCACTTCGAAACTTTATCGTCGCATATCTTTAAATCAGTAGTACAAACAAAAAAAACGCAAGAATAACTTTTTTTTGTACTATTTTTTTCTGAAGCGATTGAGACTAAAACGAAATTGATTGGTTCAGTCGTTCTTGAGACATTGCTCCATGAAAATCTCTTCACTTCTCAATCGCATGAATTTCGCGTATAAGTGGCACAACTTGGCGCGAGGCACTACCGTTCCTCTTGATTCGTGCAAGAATCGAAAAACACATCCGCGAAATGTCCAATCAGCGTCGAGATAAAAGCGAAAACAATCAATATCGAGAGAATCGATTGTGATTATTTACACACGCTTTTTCTGATAGGAAAATTACTGCAACGCGAAACAGTTGGATGTTGGTTTTGCAGTCACATTCGCGATAAGTTGCGACAGATCGCGCACGCGCAAATTACAACACGTTCTCGAATTGCACTTTGTGGATTAGGAAACGTAATGAGTTATACTCGTCCGTTTCCACGTGACCGCGTGGAACCATCCTTCCCCTCGACTCGGCGAAATCATTACGTTTTATGATCGCGAGAATTTTTTTCTCCCGCGAAACGGCTGTCGACCGGGTGAATGAGGCCTCCTTCAATAAAAGCCACGATTTTATCGTCCAT